TAGGTTTTGGGGTGTTTTAGAGTGAAACACTGATCTGGTAGGCTGTTGGCAGCACTGTGTCTGTTCTTGTATCTTGGACTGTACTAGCAAGGATGCTTAGTATCTTATTGCGTAACAGGTCATGGTGCTTGACTTCTGATACCCTCTAAGGWATTGAGAACCTATGAATAAATAGTGTAACCAGAAAGGTGCATTAAACCACAGTTTAGGCCCTATTCGTGTTGTTGAACATGTTTAGGTGTGTTATGTCTGGGTGCATCTCTGCAAGTAGCTTTGGACTGGGAGTGTGCGTTCGAAGCAAGTCTCATGGTACTCTGTACTTCCAGTGCCTAGATTTGCATCATGGTGTTGGGGAACAGGCTAGAAATTACTTTTACAGAAAAATGGAAGATTCTTCAGCTSTCAGTGGTTGTTTGGTCTGCAGGACCAGGACTACCTGTAGCAGGTGTTGGGCCTTCAGTACCAACTGTTTCACTACACAGATCTCCTCTTGTGCTCACTTCTTGCTAATTATGGAAATACAGCAGAGCCAGTGTTAACAACCAACGCTTTCAGGTGAGTCTAAAAGCAATTTGTCCTTTGAAGTATTAATGGTGTGGTCAATTTTTTTTTTTTGGTAGGCTTCTGTTTTGTTTCATGGTTCAGTCTGGCAATCTCTAGCAAATCTTAACTGTAGCATTCCAAGGTTTTGCTTTCCCCAGTTCTTTGCCTATCCTTTATGAAGGTTTCCACTTTGGCACCAGTAATGGTAGGACTGCTCTAATAAATAATAGAATTTTTTTCCCTCTTTCTTGAGGCTATCACTTTCAAAATTCACTGTTAGTTACAGAATACTATGTCTGGCTGCCCCAAAGTTATATTGCTTAAGCAGTTTTTTCTGTCGAGATGAAGATGATGAATTTTTCTGCATTATGGCAGATCAGATACTGCATGATTACTACAAATGTGAGTTCATAATACTGAAAATGTCTGTGGATCAATGCACTCAAGTGTTTGTTTTTTTTTTTTTTTTTTGCTTCACTTACTTTAAAAAGGGTTTCTGGCAGTTGCCAGCTGTTTGTTGGGATGTGCCATCTAAGTAAGAAGCAAGGAATTGATTATGCAGGGGGCAGTGAAAATGGATAAATCTCTATTTCCTTTTTTTTCTGCAGAATTAAACCTAAACCTGCTTTCACCAAATTTGTTTAATTTCAAGCCCAGAACATGGTTCACATGAATCATTTGGTGTCATCTTGCAGCATTTCCTCAGGAAAAGGTCAGGAGCCTCTTACTCATCTTTCCCTCACTCCCCTCCATAAGCTGCTTTTCTTGGTGCTTCTTAACTTTGTATGCCAAACCTGAGCTGTATCTCAGTTTACTGCCTTTGGTCTCCTACTGTGTAGTATTTCTCTCAGTCATAACTTACTAATTTTGTTAATAAGAGTTAAGAAATAAATACTGTTTTTAATCCTGGACATCACTGAGGACCACAAAATGCTGTTAAGAACAGTGACTGTTCCATGTACCAGGAGTACAAATATTAATAGCCTGGCAGTTTACCAAGCTGCAGTGGTTTCTGTTTTGTCTTGTAACAAACAACTTATGRATATTTAATGGAAAATATCATGTTAATAAAGAGAATCTTCAGACTGAGGTTAGAATTGCTTTATTTGGAGAAGTTGTGGAGCAAAAYGTGTGTTTGTGTRTGTGTGTGAGGCCATGTGAGCAGGTGGAGAGATATGTGGTTGGAGTCTCTGCTGTGAGGGTACTCTGGGTGCCAGCTCCTAATTCTCAGCAACACCAAAGTGTTTCAGAGTCAGAGAACTTGCTGGAGCAAGAGGTGACCCAGGAGTTCCAGTTTTCTGTAAAACGAACAAATTATTTTACTGGCACAGCAGTCTGTAGTGTACTTGAAAGTAATGTTTATTGGCGGAGTTGACTTCTTTGGCAAATAAAAAATTTTGATATGTTAAAGGACACAGTTTTAAGGAATGGCATACAGTTTATTAACAGCAGAGTTYTGTTCAGGAACCTTTAGATCTAGATTTGTCATAAACTGCGTAACAGTACAGTAGGTATTAAATCTATTTGGGAAACCACGTACAATGTCCTGGAGGTGGTACAGGTTTTGTCTTGAACACRAAGTAGAGTCAGAGAGAAGGCATGACTGTAAGAAACTGCAAAAGGACAGCTGTCTGCTTTGCATGAGCCTCTCAGCTGGGGACTGTTAAAACTGTGAAGTGTTGGAGTRTGACCTCAGGTGAATGAAGTTAGAAGAAGGCTCAATTTGTTTAAGTTCACCAGAGAACTGTAGACTGAGGCTTAAGGTRTAAGTGCCTTTTGTTGTAGCTTTCTGAAACAGTTCAGGATAAATATTGCTTCCTGTCATAAAAATAACAAAATAACAAAGCTCTCCATTCTTTAAGACAGAGCAATTCCAAGTTAGGAAATGCTTAGGACAGAGATTGAGTCTTGGCCAAGTACTGATTCASAGCCTGATCCTGAGGTAGTTCTACCTCTGATTWTATTGACAAATTTGCAATTTAAAGRAAAAMAAAAAGTTTTTTATTTGGTTTCTTAAGTAGAATTCCCTACCAAACTGTGTGGACAAATCTGTTTTAAGATTAGTAGATGAGCACTGGAATTTACTGATAGGGTTTTTTAATAATGGCAGATCTTGGCATCCAGTGCAAGGTTTTCAAAAAGGCACTTTTGAAACACACTTTTTATTTAACTGAATGATTACAATTATTATTTCTRACACTTACATAGAGGAATGTTTTGAAAATAGTACCTCAAAGCAGTGTATAGTGGACTGAGTGAAAATTGAGCAAGAAGCCTAATTTAGATGAATACTGATAGCTGCTTTCTGAAATACAGCCTGATATTCTGATAGGGAATAGTGTCCTGCAGCATTGGGATTACTCATGAGTCTGGTCATGTCGAGATCTATTTTGCTTTCATTGTTGCTCACACCCATTTTAAGAAGATTGGGAGTCTCATCCAAAATATTTAGCTTACATTTCTTGACGCTGACCAAATTCCAAACTTGGCAGCTGTGGTGCTGTTGCTTACAACAGTGGCAGTGCTGGCTCTRGCACACAGTTACTTAGCAACAGGGAAGCTCACGTTTGCTTACAGCTCATGCGTGTGCATCTAAATGTAGTTCTGGAAAAAAATAAAAGGTTAAAGGAGTTTGGAAAGGGAATCAGATACTTGAACAATTCATGCTGTTCAGTGGTTGAGACTGATGGCAATAGTACATAGGAAAATGARTCTCAAAATATTTTGTCTTTTAAAATCTTTATTAGCCTATTAATGTGTTGCAAGAACTTGAAATGCAAATGAGCAGAACCCTACTCCTGTCAACTACAGAAAGATCGAAAATAAAAATACAGCAAATGGTAAAGAGCAGGGGACATGTTCTATTTTGAATGCCTGTGTCACAAATGCATTCCTTGGAAACAAGAACAAGAATTCATTATTTGAACACTGGGAATCTGAGAAAGTCATAAAAATTATGTTTTGTGAGACTAACAGATGGGTTGAGATTATATTAGATTAATTACTTCTGATTGTTGATGGCTGCTTGTCAGCTTACCAGTGCTTTTTCTTGCTGATCAAGCTGTGATATCTTAATGGGTTTTTGACAGCTTGCACTCTGTGACTGCAGTAATATGCAAAAGCACAATGACTTAAAAGGCCACTGTCAAACTGTTACTGTATTATGATTACTGTAATCTCAATTTCTGGGGTTTCAGGCATGCAGTTTTCCTTATTAGCCAGCATTGGAACTGCAGTGGGGTTTCCTTATATAGCAAAGGCAGGAAGGTGATTGTGGCTCGCTCCAGACATGAGGGGGAGGCAGGGACCAGAGAGAGCAAGCCAGGAATGGAGAGGGTAGGGAAAAGACGAGCTGGACTTGGCTAGAGGATGGAGAAAGGTCTGATGATGGGAATTAATAATCCCATCGTGTATGTTCAGGCAGTTTGGGAGAGTGACGTGGACACCTTCTGTGGGATATCACTGTGAAGGAAGCACTGCATTGTTTCAGCTCTTGGGAGCTGGGAGGAGGAGCAGGGCAGTTTGGAGAACAAGGACAGTGACTGGAGAGRTGCTGCATTTTTTTATAGAGGAGTAAGGATACTGCTACTCCGTTTCCAGAATTGAGCAGTTCCTTTATACCTAGAAACTGAGTGGTTTGAGAAAGGAATTCTCCAGAGGCTGTGTTCTTTTGTTCCTGTGTTTGTTCTTCCCCATCTGTATCCTTAGGTGTGAGTTTACTGGGCTTTTCAATCGGAAACAGATTCAGACATGATATGGAAGGTGAACAAGATCCCACCACCACTGGGAGTGGGATTGAGTGTTAATCCTTGTTTTTCAGAACTGAGTCAAAATGGGGAAACATCTTGTGAAGAAGGTTTTTGAGGGCTAGAATGAACCTAGTTAGGGGACACTGATTTAAAGATAGGGGGAAAACGTTGTCAGTCCAGGCTGCCAAAGTTAAAATACAGCTGAARTATTTACCCTTGAATTTGAAATTCATTAAAGAAGATTCTTTAATTCTGATCTCCAYATGTATATTCATGTGCTGCATGTGTACTTTATGGGGCTTACTCACAGAAATTATGTCTCTAGTTAGGGACCMTTAAATGAGAGATAATTACCAACTCTGTGACTGTCTTAGAGTGGGCAAGAGGATATGTGATAATTAATGATAGTGCATCTGCAGAGTAGGAGCTATGATAGATAAAAATCTATCATCCCATACAAGTGACTGCCTACTCATCCCATGCTGGGAAATGTGCCTGGTCTGCTCCTCTCCCTGCTGAGGGCTTTTTAGAAGGCAAGTAGAAGCATGATGTCAAATACTTTTGGTTCCAGTTACCTCCACATTTTAAACAAACAGACTGTTAACTAATAGGATGAAATCTGTGCTACAGCTGTGCCACAGCTACCTTGCCTTTTACCTTATATTTTGTAAAGATAAAATGAGAAAAGTTTGTCTTTCCTTTTGCTTTTGCTGTTCATTCTTTCACCAGTGGCGACTAGAAGGGTACAGGTGCTGACTGCCTCTCGGGTTGACCTGTGTAACAAGTCAGTGTTTCACAGAAGGAAGACACTGCTACCCAAAAATTGGACCTCATCCAGAGACARCTTCAATCTCTTCTCCTTTGGGCCTTTTTTCTGACCATCAAAGCAGAGTTGCTGTGTAATGTGGTAGCTCTCAAAGCGAAATCATCTATATCACCTACCAGTGTTTGCCAGGAGACAAAGTACATATTGAGTCATTTTGTCTCTTAATTTGGTTTCTTTATGGTGGTTGTAGCTATTTTCAAGTCTTCCCTTGGTAAGTTGCCTTTTGTGAGTTTACTGAGCTGTAGATATTATATTCACTCACTTTGGCTGCTGGAACAAAAGCAGAATAATGAAAGAATTATAATTTGCTGGCAGTTATATTTGTGCTTTGCAGGCAGAATTCATTGTAGTGCAACTCTTTGTGGGTTAATGAAGTTAAAGCAAAGCTTTATATAGTATTCTTTTAAACAAAAGCAGCCTGCCTAAAGCTGTCTCTGCTAGTGTTTTCCTTCTGCAACAATTAGAGTGAATGCTGCTGGTTTAAAAATGGAATATAATTTGAGGCTTCTAGCCTTGGTCATGAGTCCTTGTATAACTGAAGTTTAAAATATAAAATKAATATTAATGAGGTGGGGAGGCTTGTCCTTTAATACTAATCCATTGTGAGTGGAGCAGCTCYAGAGACGAGCTGATACTGGCACAGAGACAACCAGCAGTTGACTGCTCTTTGAAAATGCCTCATCAGTCAAAGTCTTCACAGGCTCCTGAATTCTTGTCCTGATCAGATACAGAARGGCACCTGAACATTTCTGGTATCCCTGCCTGCTGATTCTGTGTGCATTTTCCTGGGGACATTCCTGTATGCTGGCTTTCAGCTGTRGCTTGTTGCATGGATGGAAGCGTAATGAAAGGGTAAGTTATCAGTAGGGTTTGGAAGTGCCTTTGGGAGAGAATTGTGGACCTTTAGTTTCATGTTGAGGGCATAGTCATGGTGACTTAAGCCAGGTCACATCAGTGTTAGTAGCTCCCTGCCCCTGATTATTAATGACAAAAAGGTTCCAAAATACTTAAGTGATTGTGTAAGTCTTAAGTTTGTGTARAAGAAATATGCCAAGTCACTGAAGCTTCTCCTCATTTTCATGAAGGAAGATACTTTGTATTAGCCATTACTTCTAAGGAATGTTGTTTAGATTACAAACTCCCTAAAAATTGGATGTTTGTGGACCAGTGCACCTCCTCCTAGTTCATGGATTATGATGCTGGGAAATGAGAGATGGCACCTCAAAAATGCTGAGCCCCTTCATTTTACTCTGTATCTAGTGTGGGAGTTGGCAAATCTGTCAGCAGCTGTCTGGGGAAGCCAGGTATAATAACCTCTTTACTTCTTCCTTTTTCTTGGTCTGTGCTCCATATGCTGCTAACTTGTCTTAGTTTTAGAGTGGAGTTTTGCAGTTTAAGTGTAGCAGATTATRGAAAAACTCCCTTAAAAGCTGAAGCACTAACTTCAATCTTAATTTCCTTTGTTGGATGTTACRTGCATGATTTTTGGTAAAGTTCTGCATTTATTCTATAAGTAAATGGTGTCTTGTGGCACCTACAAAGCCTGTGCTCAGTGATCGTTTTCCTTGCCTCTAGTTGATAGTATGTCAGGGCAAGGCACCACACTCTGTATTTCCTTATATGTAAAATCTGTTAGACTTCAGGCAGGTACTAAAGAAAACATAGTCCTGTATCCTGTCACAGCAATATGTTCAACTTTGTGAAAAGTGAAATATTTCCTTGTTGTGGGTTGAAAGTTACGTAGTTGCTACTAATTTGTTGCCTTTAATACAGAATCACACAGTCCAGAACTTACATTGTGAGACTGGAATTTATACTGGGGGAGAGAGAAGCTCCAAATTACTTATTTCTCAGAACCCAAATGGAGAAAAAGCCATCCGTGAAAGTCATCATAATAATTATATCCTTAATATTAATTGATGCAAATACTTCAGGAAGGTGTTGTTTTACACTACGGTTCTGTATTTAGATCTGCTAATGGAAGGTCGCAGGCTGAGCATTGCTCGTTCCCGAGTTCTTGCCAAAGTTTCTAAAGGATTCTCATTGTCATGCAAGCTTTCCCCCATGGCACGGTGCTTGCATGCTGTACATGCCTCTGCTGCCACATTAAGTAATAGTGTCTCTTTACTAAATCTAGAGTAACTGCATGGTTATTTGTGCTATTGGAATAAGTCACAAATATATAAAACTACTCCTTTCCTTCCCCTGAATCTAGGGTCATTGTTAAGCCCTGCACCTCTTGAGCAGCTCTGATACTTGTTTTTTTCTTAAGTACTTGAATGGGCGTCTTTAATTCACACAGTTACTTTTAGTAAAAAAGCTGAAGGCCATGTTCAAGAGCTTGATGCCCATGTGGATGGTCTCCCGTTCCACTAAGAGTGGCTGGGTGGTGTTCCCAGTGCCAGCAATGCTGCTCCAGGTGCTGCCATAAGGCCGACAGCATCTGTGCCCTGTCCATGTGGAATGGTTCAGCAGTGGCAGGGCTTTCAGCTCAGGGCACCAGKATTCCTGTGCCACTGCGTACACCAAGCGCATGTGTCTTAAAAATTTTGGCAGTTTTGACCTAAAATGTATGTTCTGGTTTTGCCCTTTAAAAGATTCTAAAGCTGTGAAAATATTCCATGATCTAGGAAAGGTTTAACTCCATTTTACAGGTGGGAAAGCCAAGACACAGAGATGGAGTTAGGAATTATGTAGAGATCTGGCATTTGAGGCTGGTCTCACATTTCTGGAGATSTAAGTCCAGCATCTGAGGCAGCCTCAGGTTGTCTATATCCCTTTAGCATGATGTTACACTATTAACCTCTTGGTAGAGCTGTYTTGCCTCTATGAGCTGTGCTCAAGCCATCCTGTACCTCAGGCAACCCCTGTTCACCTTTTTTTTTTTTTAATAGCTTGAAAAGCATTTTCTGCCAGGCTGTAAAAAACACTGTTGTCGCAGCACAGCAAGCATGGCCATCTCCTCCCTGRCTTTTGCCATTCAAGAGTTTCTCACTCACATTTTCTGGTTTTGTCTGTACTTATGTTGGTCTCATTTTGTTTTTAACAGCATATTTGTTATCTTGCTGTACAAACCCAGCTGGAAATACAACACTTGTTTTTGCTGTGAGAGGGGCAGCCAGCTCTGTACCCACACCTCTGGACCTGACATCTCTTAGATCATAATGATAAAGGTACAGTGTCTTATCTCCATTGCTCTCTTGATTGTTTCAGAGGAGAGTGCATGTGCACCCATCCTGTGGTAAAACACACTTGTGGTGTGATTGAAGCAGTGAAGAGGTGRTCCATGCCAGGCCCTGGTACTCATCCTGAGGTGCTTGTCCACCAAAGGCAGGTCCATAGTGAGAGGCTGTCATTTTGTGTACCCGTGCTGATGGATTCACCTTAATGTTAGATCATTTGAAGCTTGTAGTCAGAGAATTCTATTACAGCTTGTTGGCTGAATGGGAAAGGAAGGCACAGATTCAAACTGAGAGCAGATTTGCTTCTGCTTCTCCAGAACTAATTTCCTTCTTAGGTCATCCAGCATCTTGATGTCTGTTCTCTTTGTATATTTGTCCTCCATGAACACCAACTTAGAAGTAARACCTCTATTTTTCAAAAATGTATCTTACATAGGGCAAAGTATAAAGGAATTMATCAGCTGAGGACCAAATGGACAAGGAACATCATTTGGGTGCAATATGGCTGTATTTTTAACTGTGTTGGCAGGAAAAAAAAAAAAAAGATCCTATATCTAGGGGTTCACAAATATGCCAACATGGACTTCATGGCAATACAAACTTGTGCAAGSAAGTAAGGTACTTCACAGACTGAAGTGAATGACTCTGTGCATGGCRTCAGATGTAGAAACAATGCTTAAGGCATAAACAAGTATGGGAATTCTGATGGAGGATGAACCCTCCTGAAGAGTCCTTTTGTGTCCATTCATTGTTCCTTCCATTCCTTTACTTAAGAAATTGGAAATACAAGAAATTTCCACTTGTGTAATAYTTGTGTTGTGTTGAAGCCAATATGCTGCAGCAGTTCTCAGTGTCACTGAAAAATAGAACAGCACTTGGATAAATGACAGTCTTGTCACTGCATGGCTGGAGCCAACGTGCTGTCCTTAAGTCACAGCTAAAGCAAAGTAAAATTGGATGAAAATCAGCAAAGGAACAAAGAAATTGAAAAAGGGACTGTTCAGTGACTCCAGAGGTCTGGCTGTCATCTTGTATTGTTTCCGTGCCCTRGAGTATCTGTTATCGGTGATTCAGGAAGTGAACTGCTGGGATATGGATAGAAYTTAGTGCTGCTGATAAGGCAGTGAAATGATTGAAATGCCTGGTGTAGTGTCAGATAAGATGAAATGCCTGGTTTATCACACAAGCAGAATTCTAGCAAGATCCAGGGAGGCTGTGCAGCTTTATTCAGTTAAAGGCTGCAGGCTACCAGGGTGACCACCATACAAGCCAAASAGAATGGGAACTTTATATCAAGAATCTGCCCTGCACAGATCCCTACGTTTGAGCATGGGAGGATTTTGTGTTTCTGATTACATAAAGAGATTTACGGTAAGGGGACTCCTTAGTGCTTTGTTGTGAGCCTGGTTTGGAAGTGAAAACTTTCTGGATGGTACAGAATTGGTTTCTGTGCCTTTTATAAAGTGTTGTGTGTGTTTGACATTCTTGGCCAGGTTGTGTGGTCTGTTGGCTTGCAAAACACCTGCCAGCGTCAAGGAGGTGTTTCTGAAATGATGACTGCAGGCTTTGCCTTCGTAAATAAATTTACTTTTCATGGGAGTCTTTGCACATTAAAACTTTTATTCTGATTGGAATATTTGTTATATTGGCTGGCAGACTGACATTCAAGTTATGGGGTGATTGGTTGTTAAAGCTTTTTGCTTCAGTTGTCATATGGCTGTGAGTTTTGAGGCAATGTCTGTCAGGTGGGCTGACACTGAGGTGGTTCAATGAGCAGCCAAGTTCTGCATGAGCCCATTTGACCTGTGGTAAAAGCAGTGCAATCACCTTGAGCTGTGGGCACACAGTGCCTCAAAGAGTGCTCTGGGGTAGTCCTTGAAAGCTGTGAGATCAAAACCCCACTGTGCAAAGGTCTGAGGGARCAAAGCAAAACAGAGCTGTCTCCAAAGCTGAGCCACTGATGGACACAGCACAAACGCTGTAAGAGCAGAGAAACCTAGAGACGCCACTGGTGCAAGAGAGAATGGGAATCTGCTTTTCTACCTTTGTAAGCTACTCATTAAAACCTTACCTGTGAAGTTAAGTTTTAATTGCTACTGTGGTAGGAAGTCTAGGAAAATACTTGTTTTCAGCAGTTTGTTTGCATTTACCTGCTTTTTGTGCTGCTGAAAGGATCAGTAACAGAAAATGTACTTAGGCAACTTAAAAAAGAATGTCATGTCCATACAGTAATTTTCAAGAAATTAAAAGAATAATAATAATTGTGGGAGTTGCATTTTAAGTTTGAATAAATCAGATTGTTGTGGATTTTAAAAATGTTCTCTTTCAAAATTTTGAAGAAAGGATTTTCTCATGTCTTTTGTTTGATAGTAGCTGTAATAAGTTTTCTTAAAGAGCTTGTATTTGTAATCATCTTTGTTTTTTAAAGAGCCCGTGGGGTAAATGAACTAAATCAACAGCAATAAACCAAATTTTGGCTCAGTTGAAGAAAATGACAGAATTTTTACTGATTTCAATAAGTAGGATATTGTTCCAAAGTCTTAAATTGCTCTGATGTAATGACATGTAGTGAATTTAATAGACGAGTAAAATATGGGGGGTTTTTTGGTTATCATATATTACATAAGGAACGGAATGGCTCAGAAGACCAGACACATTTCATATCCCAGTGACTGCATCTTTTGTTGTCCATTAATGGCAACATAGCAGAAAAACATTTTGGTCTATTAATTTGAATATACAACTCAACTGTTCTTCATGTTGAAGAGATAATGATGTGTTTGAATTGTTTGTGTTCAGCTTTTTGTAAAAGGTAATAAACAGCCTGAAATCCATGCAATTTTCTCATGCTTTTTTCTGAATGAGTGCAAATGAGAGGTAGTTTCCGAAGGACTACAGAAGGTGGCCTTAGAACCATAAAAACAAATGAGCCTGKTTTTTTTTGACTAATCATGTCTCGGGGGAAATAAGTCAGTCCTGCAGTTATCTGTCTCCATGGCATTCTGTGGCTTGGCTCTGTGCAGATCAGAGCTAGTGTTTTGCAATGAAGACTATAATGACATTCAGAATATCTTGTTTCTCTGTAATTGATCTGTTGGGTGACTGAGTGATTCCTTCATATTCATTACTTCAATTTCCTTTTMTGTAAAATTAGTGATAATGGTGCTTGTCTTCTGAAAACACATTAAGGTCCACAGGTAAAAGTTGTCTTAGATATAGTTTGATTTATTGGTTTTCCTTGTCCTCGGCGCACTAACAATCAAAATCAACTTTGTTTTGGATGTCTTGCATTGCATTACATCACTCTGGCCCATTTACCAAACTCATTATGTTTATCTCTTGGAAGATCATTCTTTGTTTAGTTCACAAAGCCAGTACTCAAATTCATTGCAGAGGGAAGGATGCTTTTGGAGGATGTGACCGTCAGAGAACATACAAGGATGAATAGTTTTGGACCACACGTGCAATTCATAGTAAAGCTGGTGAGAACCACTCTAATCTGTAAGTTTAATATTAATCCTGGTGAGAGCTCTCTTCTCCCAGTGTCAGCCTGGGTTTGAGCGTGTCCCAGCAGGATCTGGTGGGTGTGTCTATGGTTCTGAAGTCAGTGGCTGCAGGGGGAACCTATTGTTTGCACGTTTGTGGGCTGGAGTCTCCTGGTGCAGTATTTGGGGATCTGCCTGCTGCTGCTCAGAATGGCTGTCTGAGCTGACTGGGCTGTTGTGGAAGGACTCACAGCCCCAGGGAGTTCTGCAAACAGTGCCCTGAGTGTGTTTACAAATTGCTTGSAAATCTGTTATTGCCAGAGGTACAGTGGACAGAGGAGTGTTGGTGTTCAAGTAATAAGATGAGGCATTTTTTTTCTCAGAAATTAATTGGACTCTTGAAGGCAGTGATAGGAGTGTTCTAACATGTATCTGAAGATCAAGTCACCTGCACTTCCTTCAGGCTTTTTCTTTCTGGAGCTGAACAGCTTTGATGTTCACCTACATGAATCCTTTTAACCTTGGTGGTGCCTCTGTCTTTCTTCTAGTGATTTGCTGGACCTGACTTATTTTAGGACACAGCCACTTAATGAGAAATTTGAAGTTACCTAGTCATTCACATAAGTTAATCCTGATTCTCCTCTCCTCATTCCTGTTTGTGGCTTGGGGTGTGCACTCCACTCTGGGGGGGGGGTGGTTGAGGGGCAGGGGGGGCTGACATCTTGCTGCTTTTGCCACTCTGAAGTTTTTTTCTGAGTCCTGTATAGAGTTACTTGGAGCTCCTCAGATACTGTTGGTTCTTGAAATCTTGAACTTCRTGTGATTGTTTTTGAATGTCTTGCACTGTGCAACAGTTCTTTGCTTTAATCTGTTTAAACTCCCATTTTGTGCAGTTGATGCTTGGACTGCAGAGCTGCTGATGGAGATCAGRCCTTGGCACGTGCAGTTCAGGCTCCTGTTTACCTGGGGAGTGACTCCTCTCCTCAGCAGAGCAGCTCTGGGATGCAGGCTCTGGACAGTCCATGTACTGCAGGCCCCAAACTGCCCTCCTGGGGTCCAGAGTTGTGGCAGGCTGTGTGCTCACTGCTGTGGAGGGCTCACATTCAGGCACACAGGCTGACAGAAATGGATGGAAGTAGGAAGCCATTCCAAAGGATTGGGATTTTTAGAAAAATACATGATTGAAAAATTTCTGAGCATCTCATTTGTTGACACTGTCTCCCCAGGCTTTGTGGGAACTCAAGAGGAAGATGGCATGTGCTCCAATTTAAATTTTGCTCCAGTGTATAGTGGTCTGCAGTCTAAATATATTCTATTGAGTATCCTTTCAGACAGTTCATATCCCAGAAACTAAAGTWGTAAACTATATATAGTCTCTGACATTACAAACCAGGTTTGTTTTCACCTTCTCCATGGCTGAATTGAGATAGCAGGAGCTAACAGGCCCTCCTGCTGTTGTCTTTTATATTTGTGGCTCACCTTTCACTCTCTCATTTGTGTCCTTGT